TTTTGGTTTTTCTCTGGTACCGGGAACCGAACTCACGACCTTGTGCTTGCCAGGCAGGCGCTTTGCCGCTGAGCTAAATCCCCAGCCCCCAAAAATGAATATTTAAATTGAACTGCTACCTTCGAAAATGGATTACTGTGCATATCTTAATTGGTCTTGTCAGTTCAGTATTTCACAACTGAATCATGAAGTGTCCTTTATGGATGCCACTGGGACTTCAGCTAATATTCTCCCAGCTAGGTAACATTGATTCTTTAACCTCTTTATGGTGTAATTATGTGCTCATTTTCTCCTGAGCAAATGTCTCCATAATTCGTCAATTAGATCTTATTAGTATATGTCAAAGTCTAATTGGCTGAGGGTTGATCAATTTACCATGAACTTTTAGCTAAAATCACTAGAAAAAAAATATGTAAGTATCTAAATCTTCTTACTTCATGTCAGGTTTTATCTTTTAGGGAATTATAAATGAAAGAAAAACCAATTATACACAATTCTCAAATACATGTCACTTTAAGAAGTTCAAAGTTCAAAAATATTACTACTGGAGTTCTTAAAATGAGACCTAGTCTTACATCATACCCCTGAACTCATGGGAGGTAAGATATATAGGCAATCAGGAAATATGTATCACGTCAGAGATAAAGTCATTTCATCTGAATTAAAGTATTTCTAGAAATATAATTTGAATTACTAAACAAACGTAAATATCTTTTGGTAAAATATTGTATTTGACTGGCAAATAGTAATAACATGCAAATACTTACTAGATAAATGGCATTAATATAGAATAGAAAGACGTTTTTTAGTAATATTTAAGCATGACTACATATGAAGAAGTGACAAAAATGCACACAATGCATAGTGCTAAGGAGCATTAAAATTTTGGGGGTGAATTTAGTACTAATGAGGAGAAATGATAGAAAAATATTTCACAAATTATCTAATATAAAGTATATTAAGATATATATATTCAATGTTTTTATAATAATTTAAAGGCTAACAAAATAATTTTTCTTTTAAGATTCTCATAACAAACATCGCTTTGTCAGTTGTCACAGAGATCTCATTTCCTTAACAAATTTTATATGTGTTATGTTTAGATCTAAAGTGTCCTCCCAGACTGTCATGCTTGTGGAAGGGGAGTGTCATGCTCTTCCATGGGCTTATGCATTGATGAGTGCGGAGCTGAATGTGCTGTTCGGACGTGCGGCCTGGCTGGAGGTGCGACACTGTGGGTGTGACCTGGAAGGGTGTCTTCTTGTACCTGGCTTCTCTCTTCTCTCTCTGCGGCATGGCTGCCCTGGCTTGAACACCTTCTCCTGTACCACATTCCTCTGCCTCCTGGTACTGCCTAGAAGCTGCTGCCAATCATGAACTGACATGTGAGCCAAAGTCAACCTCTCGTACTTTAAGTTGTGTCTGAATGATGGCTTAGTTTTATTCCCAGTTATGCTAGAATAGCTACCTAGATAATTACCAGGCTAGCAACCTAGTATATGAAATGCCTGTTTTCAGGGGCTGGACAATGGCAGAGCCCAATCCTGACCCACAGGAGAAGGTAAATGAAATGAGACAAGCCTGAGGAGCCTTAGTAGATTAGACCCTGCTTAGTTTGGGTCCTCGTGCTCCACAAGTGCTCATGTGCTGGAGGCTTGGTTCTCAGCCAATGCCACTAATACAGTAAGCACTCAAGGGGGAGGCTTAGCAGCGAGTCCTCAGTTCATGATAGTGTACCTTAAAGGGGGAGGGTGGAATTCCAGCCACTTCCTGTTCCTCTCTGCCTTCCTGGTGGCCGGAAGTGAGTAGCTTTTCTCTATTACATTATCCTGTCGTAATGTGCTGCCACTGGCCCAAAACAAAAAGGCCAATAAATCACGGACTGAAATAATAAAACCATGAACTGAAATAGGCTATTTCCCTTAAGTTGATTATTTCAGATATCTGCTACAGTCATAGGCTGCAGAACAACACAAACCCTGAGAAGAAAGCATCGGTGTGGGTGTGTTGAAACGTCAGCCATGGAAGCCATCTAAACTGAAGTTCGGAGAAAAAAAGGATTTAACAGATGAACATCCAGTAACTAATGGGACAAAAAGAGCTTTAACAATCAATCATATTAATGGAATAGTAAAAGCAAGGAAAACAAAATATAGATAGATGTGTTCTGAATAGATAGGTATATACAGTCATATATATTCACATATTTTTATATATTTTATATAAGAAATAATGTTGAAATTTACATTTTATATATTTATACATAAGAAATAATGGATGAAATTTATAAACTCAGATATCTGAGAATTTTGTTGAACACAAATAAACACAAAGAAAATCATATCAACTCACTACATAATCTTTTGCTGAGAAAAATTCTTAAGTAGAAAGTCTATAATATCATCAGATAGCCATAACTTCTCAGTAGAATCAATGCAAACCACAAAACAAAGGAACCGCATATACTGGCGTGAAGACCAGGAAAGAAAAATAAAGACTTCAACACAGAATTGTATCATCAACAAAAATCTCCTCTAGAAATTAAAGTAGGACAGAAATATTTAAGACAAAAGCAGAGGCAATTAATCACCTGTATGTGTATATAATAAGTTTTTACCACCAGGTAAATCTCACCATATTGAAACTCATATCTATGGGAAGAAATAAACACTGAAAATGGTTCACCTGTCAGTAAATGTAAAATATCTGTCTATGCTTTTATATTTTTAAAGTGTTCAATACAACAATAGGCTGGGCATGGTGGTGCAAGCTTGTAATCCCAGCACTCAGAAGGCTGAGGCAGGAGGATCGTTGTGAGTTGGAGATCAGCCTGGGCCACAAAGAGAGCTCAAGACCAGCCTGAACTACATAGTGAGACCTTATCTCAAAAAGACAAAAAATACAGAACAAAACAAAATTTAAAAAAAAAACAATAGTAATAATTATAGGCTTCTCACAGAGAAGAAGTAAAATGTTTGACTACAGTAGAACAAAGGGTATGGGACAAAGAATACCGCAAGGAGTTCCTCCTCTCACCCATAATCACCTATTTGAAACCAGCAAACTCCTTGAAAGGTCAACTGACATCACATAACTGTAAAACATAGACTTTACATGAAAAGATGGATTTGTTTTCTGCAAAAAATGGAATGCTAAATGCTTTCTGGGTTTCAGGCCATGTCACCTCTGTAGGAACTGCTGAATTATGTTGTTACATGAAGCAGTCATAGTACGTAATGGAAGTGTGGCTGTGTTTCACTAAAAATATATTAATAATAACTGGTGCAACCTCTGCTCAAGATCAACATCTCAGTAAAAGAAAATAGAAAAAAATCTGTGGATTTTGTTGTATCTTAATACATCTGAGGACATTTAGAAAAGATTTAAGTATATAGTGAGTGAGTGTGAATATATACTGCCCATCGATCATCTGCAGAATTTGTGTGTAAACTATATGATAACTACTTCCCTGTGAGTTCGAGTTTGCCTACTCTCATGTCCTCAATCCGTAGTTTTACTGCAATGACATTCTATAAATGTAAACCTTATCTATTTCCTCCCTGCTCAATACCTTTTGATTGTTCTCCACTGCCTGAGGACATAACCAACCCTCACCTTCACACACGGTGCAAGCCTGGATGCACCCTCTCCTCACCCACAATGCTTCTTCCTCTAGCCTGGCCAGTTTTACCCAAGGACCAGTGTGTGCACTGCACATTTTCCCATCTGCGGTGGCTGTGATGAGCCCTTCCAACCTCCATGAGGAGAGGAAGAGGAACTTTTCAGCCACACGGAGGGCCCCAGCAGATGGTCCTTAGCCACAGTTCCTTTCCAGGAGTTTCCTGAGTTAAAATGGTGACTTTACCAAGGTTATGTCCTTCCCTGAGGTTGTGCAAATTCCATGACTGGACAATCTGAGGCCATGAAAGGCCAAAATCCTACCCCAAGTTGTGGAAAGCCTGAAGTATCTTCCAACTCAGAGCTATTTTCTTTCCAACCCCTAATGCACTTCCCATTGTTGTGGCAGAAGTCAGCAAGACGAACACTCACAAGAGACCAAAAATGGGAACAAAGGAGGCTTTATTGCCAGCAGAAGACAACCTGAAATGAAATCAGGGAGTGTCGACCACAAGAGGATTTTGCACTGTTTATATACCTTCTAGGTTTCCATGGTAACCACATTGCCTAATTTTGGGGAAGTTTATGAGAATGCCACATAATTGTCACAAGGTTTACATTTCCCAGAGGTTGCTCATCATGCAGATATACAGTTTAACATTTAGCTTGCCCCTCAATTTGTTTTAACTGTTTGTTTTTCAATTTTATGCTTTTGCTCTTTTTAAGACGGTTTATGGTTAGCTAAGAGGGGAGGGGATGGAGAGTGAGTTTATCTAAAGTTTAAGTGACTTCTAAAATGGAGTTCTAAAAGAAAATAGACTCTCTCTTGACCTATCATCACCAATTACTTTCCATCCAAAATTTGTGTCCTGGGTCTACAAAAAATCTTCCTGGGACCAATTCTTCAGCTCATTAGTAATAGTTGCTCCTTGTCCATGACTTGTGATACATGTTATTTTCATGCAGAATGTCAGTCTTATTGTAGGGTCTAATAGTCTTTATAGCTATGTGCCATCCACATGCCTCTTTCTAGAATTTATAAAATGTTGCTGGAACAGCAGGTTGATTTTTGAGATAACAATATGCTGTTACCAAACACTAAAAGTAGATTTTCTTGCTTGTTAGATTTACAGCTCCAAACCTTGAAGAAGTGTATATTCAACTGCATATAAACTTTTATTATGTTACTGAAGGCAATAGGATGATTTGGTCAATGAAGTC